CCGCCGACCCCTCCTCACCTGCGCCCCCGCGTGAGTCACCAGCACGTCGTCCTCTATCCGCACCCCGATGCCCGCAAACGGCCCGAAGCGCGGGTGGTCCGGAATGTACAGCCCAGGCTCGATCGCCATCACCACAGACGGCTCCAGGGCCGCCTGGGACCCGATGGTGTTTGTGTCGTGGACGTCGAGTCCGAGGTAGTGGCCGATGGAGTGGCAGTAGAACTCCCTAGGTTGCGTTTTTTGGGGGTTGGGGGTTGGGGGTGGGACAGGCGGGCAGGAGGTGTCTGGATGGTCACTTTGTTTGTGATGTGGCGGTCAGCACACTGGTGCACGTGCGTTGGGCCAACCAGCTTGCCAGCGGCAGGTTCCTGCAATGTTTGAGCACAGTGAGCAGCCCCCACATCTAGGTGTCATTCATTTGGCCTAGCGCATGTTGCCCGACCCAGTGACAACAGCGGCTGGGCCCCAGGCGCTGTTGGGCCCCAGGCGGGCCTCCCCTCAGGTAGCACTCTCGCGGCCAGGGAGGCCACACCAATCGCCCATCCCAGGGCCGCGGGGCTTAACGCGCCGCACCTGTAGTGCTGCGCGGCGATCGCGTCCGTGCTCAAGCCCGGCAGGATGCGCAGCTGCTGCAGGCCCTCTGACAGTAGCCGCACCGAAAGCTGGTGCAGCCGCCCAAGGGTGGCGCCCGGCCGCACCGCGTCCAACACGCGGCGGCGGGCGTCAAGGCAGACCTGAAGGGTTTGTTATGGGGGTGGGATGGGGTTGGGGCAGGTTTGAGGGCTGAAGACGGACTGCTGGTTAGAGAACGATGTGAATTGGAGGGGAGCGTGGAGGTGGGATGAGTGTGGGCGCTGTGAGGTGACGAAAGAGGGATCACGTCGATGGGCGGATCGGGCGCAGGCGGCTGCGGTTTGGCCGCATCTGGCACGCCAGAGGTTAGGGAGGGGGCACGCCCTTGTGAGGTTACGGCACCACCCGAACCTTTCGTATGACAGCGCGTCCGGTGGTTGCAGGGCAGTTCTTTGTTTCATCCGGCACCCCACCTCGTACACGTCTCGCTGCGGCCCCGAGAAGCGCCCGTTGACGGGCCACGTCCGCGTGACGTCACTCGCGTAGCCGCCATACCTTGGTGGGCGTGAGCGCCGGGTGAGGGCGGAGATGAAGGAGAGGCAGGTGGAGATGGGAGGGTGCTTGATAGTGCCGGCCAAGGTGTGGCTGTTGAAATGGCGAACTGATGGGAACAGCCCGTAAGGACCTCCCAGAAAGGTACCGAGCGTAGTGCGGCGGCGTCAAGCTCCCGATCGCTGATTGCGCCGCCACGCAGCACGCGTGCGTGCACCAATGCGGGGCTGCAGCAGGGACGGGGCGGCCCGCCTCACTCCTCCGAGAGAGGCGGCGCGCCTCACTCCCACCCGGCGCCGCTACGCAGCGCGCATGCGTGCACCAATGCGCGACTGCAAAGGGGCGGCGCGCCTCACTCGCAGCCTGCGTCCATGAGCACCATCTCGCCCGCCTGCACGCGCTTGTCGTTGCGGCTGTAGTGGATGGTGCACGCGTCGGCGCCGCCGGCGACGACGGGCGGGTACGCATTGCGCTGGGCGCCGGCCAGCTTGCACTCGTACTCTGCGCACGGCGGGTGACAATAGGGGAAGGCCGCTGGAGGTTGATGGGCTCATGGCCGTGAATGGCAGCGTTTCGAGCTCGTGGTGGTGCTGTGGTGCTGAGGCTGGGCCGCAGGCGCAAAGGGGTGCCAACCCACAGCCGCACCACCAGCAGCCGTCCAAACGGCGGGCCCGCGGCAACGAAGTTGCAGCCAACATCTGCGGCTTCCAATGCGACCGAGCTGCATCGCCAAAACCCTCACAGAGAGAGCGGTCTTGGGGTCAAAATCACCCCGCATGGCCCACGTTTGCACCGCCGCAGGGGCGGCCGCGCGCGCGGGCGCAGGGGCACCCACCAAACGTCGCGGCGAGTGCCTGCTCGTGCACCCCCGGCCTGCTGATCCCGATGCACCGCTCGATCGCCGCCCCCGCCGCCAGCGCCGACGTCCGCATCAGCTGCAGCTCCGCAGCGCTCTTGCGCCACCGCAGCCGGTGCAGCAGCGGCCGCAGCGGGCCCGCGCGCGGGCGCGCGCCGGCAGCCTCTAGGGCGGCCCGGACCGCGTGGAAGTGGAAGCCGGAGGGGCGGTCGGCGTCGAAGAGCACAGAGGTGGCGCTGTGCGCGATCTGGGTGAGCCTCGGCGCCAGATCTGACATGAGGTGCACCTCGTCTGCCCCGAAGACCTCCCTGGCGGCCTGGGGGCCGAGCCACGCGCCGTCCCAGCGCTCGCGCTGCGCGAGGGGCGGGGGCAGGGTGGGGGCCCGTGGCGGGGGAGTTGGTGGCCGGTGGGGCAGAGTCGAGATTGCGCTCGGCTGGCGTTGAGGCCTTGCTGGGGCGAAGAGGCACAGCGGCAGGCCCCAAGCTGGGCTGCGACACAACCAACCAACCAACCAACCAACCGACCCACCATCCAACCAGCCAACCAACCAACAGTCAACTAGCCAGTCAGTTGATGTGCTTTAGTCTGACCGCTGCCCAAGACAATTGCCGCCGCGTCCCACCGGGGGCGCCCAGCGCGCTGCGCCCGCCCTGAGTCCTGCATAACAAAAGCCTGGGCCCCGCCCACCTCCCTATCCGCCGCCGGTATGAACAACGTGAACCGGTGCTCCCCAGCGCCGCCGCCCTCGCCGTGCGCGTGCACCACTGCCACCCCGTGCTGCGCCATGCCTGTGAGGTACAGAAAATCGGCATCCTGGCGGTACGGCTGCGGATTGGGTGCAAACGTCATCAGAAGCAGAAGTTTGACAAGAGTGGAGCAAACTTGCACGCCAGTGCTGTAGTGCATTTGCAACAGCTCAAGTTGGCGCATCCTGGCTTGCGTGCGAAGGCGAAGGGCACACACAACCCTGTGACGTGCTGGCATGCTGCGATTGTTGCACGCGCGTCGAGAACCCCGCAGTAAGCTCACGTAAGGGATGACGCCGGTGACAAATGTCGTGCTGGCGGCCGGCAGCACCGCAACTGCCCCTTGCGGCATGGCCTGCGCCAGGCGCTGCCGCCGCTGCTTGTACTCCGCTGCAGTGATCCCGACAGTCAGGTCGGCAGGGCGCAGCAGCTGCGCAACCGTGGCGGTGGTGGTGGTGGCGGTGGCGGCGGCGGCGGCGGAAAAGGGCACGTGCCAATGAGGGAAACCGCCGCAGGATACAGGCAGCCATGGAACACTACGATGAAACCCCAGACAGGCGGCGGCTGCGCGGCCATGGAGCGGCTGCGTCGCCACTCGGCTTCGACAACACAAGCGGCTCATGCGCACGCAGTGCCAAAGCCTCATGCAATGCGCCGCAGCGCACCCCGAAACCAAACTTGCCTCCGGGTGCGTCTCCGGCGTCGGCTGGCCGGCGAGCTGCGCCCTGGGGACAGGATGGCGCGCCGCCTCTGCTGCTGCTGACGATGAACACAGGGCGCGTCGTGCGAGCGGCCACAGCCCTCTTGCTGTCGTTCCGCTTGCAACGCCGGCAGCCGCTGCAGCCGCCGCGGCTTGTGCAAGCTGTAACACAAGCCCCGGCGCCATCGAAGGCATCCTGCCTTTGCTCAGGCGTCGTTCGCTGGACCAAGTGCAGTGGAGCGCCGCAGCGCGCAGCACCGCTGCCCCTGCTCCACCTGAAGCTTACGACCTGGCCGCCTGTCTGCCTGACTGAGCGCTGAGACAAGAATGTAATATACCAACTTATCAAATTGACATGGCGACGAGAGGGGCCACGCGCTGCCGAAACGATGAGAGGCTTGGCGCGGACATCCGTCCGGCGTCCTGTAACTTATTGCTGCACGAAATTTCAGTACGTCTTGCACATGAAATACTGATCGACGCTACGGTGACAAATGTGTGATCTTGACAGAGCTGACTGATGCAGAACAAACATTTCGTCACCGTGGACACGCACGCACATGCCCATCCCAAAGCGAAGCATGTCAGCCAACGCGGTGCCCGTAGACCTTAATCTTGATGGAGAATACGGTATGTTATGGAGCTGAGCCTGCATGCCAACTAAATCGATAGGATGTGCTCTGGCTCAAGTGGCAGAGGACTCAGCGATCTGACCTCACCATGCCGCTGCCCATTGGCAGCCGTTGTTGGTCTGAGGTTCCAGATTCGATGCATGAATCAAGCAGCACGGCCCGAGAGATCACGCACTGCATGCATGAGGGTATGGGCGGAGGCCAAGTGTTGATGTTGACCACCCCCTGTTGGGAAACCCATGTCATGACAGCACCTACTGCAGCACGTCGATCCCCTCAGCCTGTGTTTGGCTGTTGTTCGCCCTGCAATTCCAAGGAACGTCCACCCCCAACCCCACGCTTTGGTGTACTGGCTGCTGAGGGAAGCGGCAGGCCAGTCAAGCCCGCAGGGTCGCCTCCTCACAGCACCTGAACACAACCTGTCACCTGGCACCTGAATGCGATCTGTCAGGCAATTGAACACAGCTAGACCCCCGTGGTTACAGGCCCCCGGGCCGCAACCCGCTGCCGCCGCCGGCCGCCGCCGCCGCCGCGTGCTTCGCGCGCCGGCTTGGCTGCGGCATGAGGGCCTCCTGCAGCGCGTCGTGCGACCGCGTGGCCACCAGATGCTGACACAGCACCAGGGCGTCCACCCAGGCGTCCGCGGCGTCTGCTGAGTCAGCTACCAGGTAGATGCCCTGGTGGGGCCGGCGCGGGGTGGTGGTTGCAGTGCTTAGGTTGAGAGGGGTTGACTATGGGCTGAGGGTAATGCGTGTGTTTTTCTCGTGTCTCTGTCAGCAAGGGTGATACGCATGCTCTTGGTGCCAGCTGTCGAGCGGAGGGGGATGACAAGCTCAACAGCACCCACGGCAGCTGCCGTCTGCCTGCGCGCCGACCACCCCCCCGCCACTCGCTGCAGCACGAGGACAGCTCGCATCTTGCGCGTCGCGTCGCACGCCCATCAGTGCCTGCGCCCTGCCGTCCCTGCGGCATGAAATGGGTGACAGCTCATCTTCTCACCATCGGGCGGCTCGCCAGGGACACCCAGAACGCCTCCCCCTCTGGCAGGCTGGGGTCGCTGCAGCGCCTCACGTTCACAATCTCATCCAAATCCAAAACCAACGGGTCCTCCTCAGCCGCCGCTGCCGCCGCCGCAGCCGCTGCCTTGGCGCCGCCGCCGCCCCCGCCGCGCTGCTGCTGCTGCTGCTGCGCCGCCAGCGCGCCTGGCGTTCAAGGCGACAGCGTCAGTGTGAGATGGGGAGACTTTATGTGTCGCAACAGTGACTGGAATTGCACTTGGGCGCGCCCAAAGCTCAGCGTTGGAGCGCGGCCGCCGATCCGCGGGCGCAGCGGCGCCCAGGTGCGTGCGCGGCTCGGTGGAGGGGGAGCGCCCAGGGGTACAGAGAGGGGCTGCGCCGGCTCACCCGAGGTGGCCGCGGACAGCGTGCTCTCCAGGTGCGACGCGGCCCTGAGGGAGGCGTGGTCGAGCACGAACCAGCCCCGCCTGTAGACCTCCCCCAGGCCGCCGACGCTGCGCGGCAGCGGGGCGGACAGGAAGCCGGCGCGGAGGAAGGGCAGGGGCAGCATCTGGCGGACCACTGACAGGGACTTGCGGTAGATCTCCTGAGGGGGTTGGTGATGAGGGTTTAGGGTTTGAGGTTTAGGGTTCAGGGTGCAGCCCTGAGGGCGTTGGTCCTGGGAGGGTCAGATCGGGTTGGCGGCGGGGACGATGATCTGGCGGCATGTGGGGCTGGGGAAGAGCGGGTGAGGGATGAGCGACGAGGGCTAGAGGGGCAAGGGGGTGCAAAAACTGTGTTTCGTGGCGCCGGGAGGCAACAGCCGAACCACGCCGACGAGAGTGGTTGCATGAGGGACATGCCACCATTACGAGCGCGACCCAGAGGCCAGGTGTGTTGAGGGCGATGTCACTGTCCGTGGTAACTGGTGTTGGAAGGGCGGAATGCAGTCCTTGCCGAGTTTTGAAACTGGCCGACCATGCAGAGATTATAGTACAACTGGACCCAGCACCGGGGCCCCTGCGGCAGAGCAGCGCGCACCTTCCCGGGCTGCAACGCGGCCGCCAGCGCTATGTACTGCGCAGCGGCGCCAAAAAGCGCGCGCGCCGCCGCGTCGCGGCCGGCGCGCGAGGGTGCGTCTGCGCCGCGGGATCGCGGGGAACGGCGGGGCGGAGGAGAGGGGCGGGCAGTGGGGGCTGGTCGGCGCAGCGTGTGGGCCCACGGCTAGGGTGCCGGCTGTCTGCAGCAGGGTGTAAGCAGGACGCTTCAGGCGGCACGCTGGCCTCGAGGCCCCGCCGCATCCCCACCAGGGGGCATCCGGCTGGTCAAACCAACCAAATTTGACCTCGTGTCGCCTCTCTCCCTGCCAGAGCTGCTGCATCGCAGAAGTCCTCAACACAACCCCCGCACCCCCTTCGCTGAATTCGCTTCCACCCTTTCACGGCCACTGCGGCACGCAGTCACAATGAAGCCGCGCGTCGCCACGCGCCTGCTGGCCGCGCGCACCCTTGGGCTGCCCCTGCTCGCTCTGCATCGCGCAGGCAAAGGTGTAGAAGACCGTCCCCAGGTTGTAGCAGCCGCGATCAAAGTCGGGGCGCGCGCGCAGCGCCATGCGGAACTTGGTCATGGCGCAGCGGACGAGGGAGTCGCGCGTCCGCCAGTCGCGCGCGTCGGAAGAGAGCTCCTGCACGACGCACACACGTGCGTGTGTGTGATATGTGTGCATGCGTGTGTGCAAGGTGCGCATGGCGCGCTTGTTTGTCTTTGTCTGCATGTGTGTGTGTGTGTGTGTGTGTGTGTGTGTGTGTGTGTGTGTGTTACACGCCCGCTCCAGCACCTGTACACCGCACCGCTACTGCACCTGCATCCGCCCCCTCCCAGACGCCCTCCCTCCAACCTGCCTCCCCGCCGGCCCCGCACCCCACCTGCAGCACCAGCCCCCAATTGTTGAGGGCCTGCGGATTCCCCGGGCTGATCGCCAGCGAGGCCGCATACTTCTGAGAAGCCAGATGCAGGCACCCCGCCGCCTCCGCCGGCGCCGACGGCTTGAGCGCACGCGCGAGGTCCGACAGCGCCACCCCGAGGTTGTACAGCGCCTGGTGGCTCCTCGGCTTCAGGGTGAGAGACGCCTCGTACCGCTCGCAGGCCTGGGGGGGCAGGGGCGGGACGTGGGCGTGGGCGCGCGGGCCGGGCGTGCGCGGCGGGGGCCCTGAGCGGCAGCTGCAGGGAATACGCTGCCGAGTGAG